ACGCCTGCAGGAGCTGGGTGCGGGGCCGGGAGGGGTGCGGGGACTTAGGAGGAGCCCCAGAGCCTGGGACCTGCACCGGGACGCTGCCCGTGGAGGGAGCGGCCTGTCCAGCACGCACGCCCCGCGCGGGGTCTCGCGAGGACCCCGGGGCGCCCCTAGTGGCCCACGCCCCGCAGCGCCCCACTAACGCAGGCCGGGGCAGGGCGGGGCGGAGACCCAGGGCTTGGCCTCTGGCCTGGCTGGGCCTTTGGAGGGAAAGAGTGAGGCCAGACCTGGAGCCGGGCCGGCAGGTGCACAGGCGCCAGGGGCCGAGCAGACCCTGAAAAGCGTGGAGACGAGGCCCAGGCCCAGGCCCAGGCTCCGGAGCAGGGAAACACGCTCTGGGGTGGGGTGAGGGCAGCAGACATCACAGGCCGCCAGGACCGTGTTGCGGGGTCCGGAGGCCCGCAGACAGGACCCGGAAGCCCATGTGGCCTTGGTGCTGGTCTGGCGCTCTGGCCACACCGAGGTGCCTGGAGCTCAGCCGCTGCCTCATGGCGCAGCTGCAGAACAGCCATGAGCTCAGAGGGAGACAGGAAGCAAAAACACCCACAGGGAAAGGTGGCGGGGATGCAGGCGGACCACGTGGAAGCAGAGGAAGGCCTGGGCACCCAGCGCTGCGACTCAGGAGCCCAGGCCAAGGTCAGCGGCCCGCTAGCTCGTGGGCTCGGGAGTGGTCCTTGCACACCCAGAACCGCAGGCCTGTGGACGCCCCACCAACGTGCTGCGGAGACACCCTTTGCTCTCCGGCAGGGAGAATGGCCCCAGCAGCTTAGCTCTGGACACTCAGCCCGTCCCGGGAGCCAACTCACCCCTGCAAGGGGCGAGAGACACTAGTGGTGGCACTAGATGTGTTGGTGCAGCATGCAGGCCCCAGCAAAACTGCGAGCTCCAATCCTCCTCCTCCTCTCACCTCATTTGCAGAGGGATGTATGAGACCACAGGCACCTGCATGTCCTGGCTGAGGCCACTCCCTGGTGGCTAGGTCAGGAAGAAGCACCTGCCTCCATCAGCTGCACGTCAAGAGCATTTATTATTAATCCTCCTAATAAATAGGGAATATGCTAATTGACCATCATGCCTTCACAAGATGGCCATGCCCAGTCCCCTCAGCCCCACCTCATCCAGCCTCAGTCACCCAGTCCCCTCAGCCCAGCAAGGGAAGGCAGTTGGGAAAAATCATGCCAGCAGGGGAGCAGTTAGGCATCAATCAGGTCAGCAGGGGAGCAGTTAGGGGGCTATCAGGCTGGCAGCAGAGTGGTTGGGGGCAATCAGGCAGGCAGGTGAGTGGTTAGGAACCATCAGTCCCAGATTGTGGGAGGGATGTCTGACTGCCGGTTTAGTTCAGACATCCCCTGAGGGGTCCCAGATTGGAGAGGGACACCCCCATCCATGCACGAATTTTATGTACCGGTCCTCTAGTGTCACTATAAGCCTAAGAAGACATTTGTCTCCCAGAAAGCAATGTTGGTGTGTAAGTGCCCCACGTTCTGTAACTATGTCACAGAAAGAGAGGGGGCTTCCTGGAGAAGCCCGGGGTAGGAAGGAAATTGGAATAAATAGGGGCCTGTTATTAAGAAATGGTGATGGCCATTGAAGGTGCTTACACGCTCTCTAATTTCCCCCCGATGTCTGCTGCTGGGTCCTTTTTGTAATGAGGAGGTCAGTGTGCCCCAGCGTTTGCCCTCCAAGGAGCAGAGCAGCCTCAGAAGGATTCGCTCCGCACAGGGACCTGCTTGCTGCAGGTCCCACCCAGCAAGGCCAGGCCACCCGTCTGGCCGCCCTGGGGCAGGTCATGCTGCAGCAGTGAGCCTCCTGCCCAGCTGACGGGCAAGCCTCCACCGACAAAGACCAAGGGCGACTGGTGCTGTGGGTTAGGGAAGAAGCCAAGTGCCCGACTTCTACCCCAGAGCTCAGGCCTGCAGTTCCCACTTCATATTTCCAGCTCAAATTTTATTTTTACTTGGCAATAACTTACTGTGAGTGGTAGGGAAGGGTGTAGCTTTCCATTCATCATTAGATGCCATTCTGGAAGGAGGAGATGAAGGGGTGGTGGTGGGGACAGGATTTAGTCATCAGCAAGTAAAGAAGAGGATTTTTTTGAGAGCTGAGGGAGGAAGCAGGAAATGACTCTGTTATTTACTTATTCTGACTTAAGGAGACACATTTGACCTCTCATTGCTAGGCCCCCCTTGTGAGCTCTCTAGGTGATTTGTCAGATAATGGGCCCTGCAGAGATTCTGTGCAAACTCTTGTTACCCCTTACTGCTCAGTCACCTGTGAAACAATCAGGTGTGTGAGCTCCAAGACCCCACAGTGGGCAGCAAATGCAAGGACAGCAGCCCGCCACTCTTTGGGTGCAGTCCACCCTCTGCAAGGGAATAGCAGGGTCGCTCTCCAGTATGACTCACCTTAGAAGGACCCACAGGGAGATGGATGCTTGAATCTCACAAGCTCCCCTTCACTGGGGTGGGCGTAGCTTCCCATCGAAGGTATTTCATAGATGATATGGGAAAGAGGAAAAGAGACAGGACAGAGAACTAAAGAGTGGGAAATGAAGAGGAACTGAATTGGAAAGAAGAGAAGAACCATGCAGAGCCTGTTGGAAGTGTGCACACTCCATTCAAAATAAGGCTTTCTCCTTCCAAGGACTCATTGAGGATGTATGATCAAGATTGCAATGCTCATCCATCCCAAATAAATATTTTGCATTTCCAACATCTGTAGTCTAGCTTAACTCATTTAGCAAAATATATGGATCCCTGGAAAGGTGAACCTAAATTCATTTTTAACTTTTATTTTAGAAGTACCAGTAAGTCCTGCTTATGATCCTGTCATGAATGTTTTGGGATCTAGATGACCATATTTTGTTCAAAGGTTCAAGTGTTGAATGTTTTTCAAATTTCCCAAGTTACTAGTATATGTGGAAGAGGGTGCTAAAATGCCAACATTTAAATAATGAGCCAGATTCATGATGGTATAGACACTAATCCTGAAATTCTCTACTCTTCCTTTGATGGGCCTTTGCATTTATTCCATGCAATCTTGGAGACCACAGGGCTTGGTGCCATATCCTGAAATGCTGTCATTACTGAGGTTGGGTCCCAGGGTTCACAGAAAACCCAAGTTCCCTCCTGAAATTGCTGGAACTGACAAATCTAGATTGAGCAGCATGTTTTTCTGGGCATGATTTATCCTTGCTTGAACCTGTGTCATCCTCGGGTTGTGCAGTGACACTGTGTGTGTAACCGGCTTGGTTTATTAATCCCACAACCGAAAACTCTGCTACTGACTTAATATTTATTGAGCACCCAAATAAATATGTCAAACACAGTACAGGCCCCAGCCTGAAGAGCTTTACACAGTGAGTCAGCCACACATGCATGTCACACACATAGCAAAGACATCAGCGCATGAAGGAAAACCAGTCGAGGAACTGCCTTAGGGAACAAAGGTGCTCCGGGGGGGGATGGGCCCTGGGCTCACTCCCAGGTCCCCCTAATGTCAGTTCTGTGCCTTGCCTTTGCAAGACTACTCCATGTTCAGGAATGCAGGCCACAGGACAGAGGTGTTAACTAGCCTACCTGGAACTTAGCAACCCCTGTAGAAGAGCAGGCTGAACGTCCACAAGAACAAAATTCAGGAAGGTTCCATCAATAAACATACTGCTACCTTCGCATCTCTCACAGTTGCGAATTCCAGGTAGCTGTTGCCAACACATATTGAAACACTCCCCAGCCGATTTAGTGAGATAAATCTATTGACCAACTGCCAAAAGTGAGACCTGGTGACAATGCTTGCAAAGAGGATTACAGAACCTCCCGTCAGCCTGGGAAAAGGCTGCTGCCAAGTGCCAGACTGGCTCAGTTCCCAGGTCTATGGCCTGGTGACTCCTTGCAGGAAGAGGACTGGATGCGTGCTATCACACTGGGGATCGAATCCACAACCCTAGCGTGTGCCCTGACCTGGAATGGAACCATGACCTCCTGGTTCATAGATCGACGTTCAACCACTGAGCCACGCTGGTCAGGAGTGGGAGATTTTTTTTTAAGTTTGGTTTATAGTCAAGCTAGTTCCAAATAGATTTCAACAGGGTAAGAATTAATTAGTTGCTACTCATTTGCCAATTGGCTTAATTTATAAAAAATATTCATAAACACAACACAATTCCCCAACCTCTTTAGGCTCTCCATAAAATCCATAGAAGTGTTAAAATTTTTTAAATTGTAAGCGAGATAGAAGCAGGTGGCAGCTTTTCTAGTAATTACTGGGACACTTCCTTCTCACAGCTGATACAGACTCTCTTACATCAGGTTAATCAAGGAACACTTCAGTTTCTGGATTTGGAATAATTCATGGTGTATAACTTCATAATGCAGCTGATCTGATTGGACTCATGCAGTGCCTTACACATAGATCTGTAAGGAAACTGTTGAATGGACACCTATAGATCTCTGATTATATTAAAAGCAAGTGAAATGCTTTGAGAGGGGGAAAAAAAAAAACACCACCACTTAGGCCCAGCGCCATCTCAAATCATTTGGACTCTCTGGCAGAGGGCCTCGGCAGTGATGTTTTCTAAAAGCTCCCCCAGGTGACTCTAGGAGCAGCCAGGGCTGAGAACCAGTGAATGTAACCTGCAACAAAGAGACCCCAATTCATCATATTTCTCCCCAAGGAATCCCATCCTTTCCCCCATCGCCTCCACTCTCTACACATACTCAACCAAAGAATGCTCTAGGGCAGTGGTCGGCAAACTCATTAGTCCACAGAGCCAAATGTCAACAGTACAAGATTGAAATTTCTTTTGAGAGCCAATTTTTTAAAACTTAATCTTCTTCTAACGCCACTTCTTCAAAATAGACTCGCCCAGGCAATGGCATTTTGTGGAAGAGCCACACTCAAGGGGCCAAGGAGCCGTATGTGGCTCGCGAGCCGCAGTTTGCCGACCACGGCTCTAAGGAAACATGAAAAGTGTGGCCTTGAGCCTCATAAGTAATGGAAGCGCTGGGGGCCCAGGAACCTGTCCCTGGGATGCATCTGGGACAGGGGAGTGACACAAGATTGTGGGAGGGCTACATCCTGAGAGCACAGGGTCTTTGTTCTCCACACCCACAGGGGAAGCCGACAGCGGGTGTCAGTGTCGTCGTCAAAGGTAGCTTGCATTAACCTGTCTTTCTTTCTCCCAAGCCAGGCTTTTCCTACCCTTCCCCATGCTGCGAAAACTCCAGTCATATAACTACTGACGACTCAGACTGATAACTAGCCCAAGCACGAAACCTCACGCTTCCATCCTGGTTGCTGGCATTGGAGTAATAGCATCGGATCCTTGCCATCCCCAAATCGCCTCCTCGTTCCCTTCCTTTCAGGGAACACCTTAATGGGCTCCTTTCTGAGAGTGAGAGGAGCGGATGTGGGGGAACACTGATCCAGCTGCTTAGTAAGCGGTGGCGGCTCTGGAATCTCACAGTTGGTGACCGAGAGGCTGCAGACAGCTCAGGCCCCGTCTGCTCAGGGGCTGATCTGACAGCTGGATTTCACGCGTCATTTCCTAAGCTCCTTCCCTCACTTGCCCAGCCGCTGTGCCAACATCAGTGTGGAAACCCTCGCCACAGGGCACTTGTCCTCGTTTACAAAAGGCCCTCAGGAGGGTAAGGTGAGAAGCAGCAGCATGGTGTCGTGGCTCAATGGCCTTCACCTGTTCCCTTAACCGTGTGTGGAAGGAACGGCATGTTTGATCTATGGATCCTGGGAGTGGCTGCTTATTTTTCTGTCTGGGCCTTAAGGAAACTTCTCCCGGGCCTTGTCATCTGGATTGATCATGTTCCAAGCATGTCACTAGAGAGCAAGCGCTGAGCGGTGAGAAGACAGCTGTGGATCTGCTGCAGCCGAGCAAGTGGAGAACGCAGGAGCATGCTGTGGCACGCAGCTGACACTGCACGTTCAGGAAAGGAAACATGTGTGTGCCCACCTAGTGGCAAGCCCTGGGTGTGCATACACAAACATGCACACAGCTAGGATGTCTGTCCTCTGCGTGGCTACCTGTCCCCTTAAGCGACTGGTGCCTTTCCCCCTTTATTCCTATTTATTTATCTCTTCGATAACTAATTTATCTCATTATTTTCAAATGGAAGTTGAGGATGAGGAGAGGGAACAAAATAGCAAGACCTTTTCAAAGGTCGTTTGTAAGTGTGCTGTACTCTAAATGCAAGTGGATTTCAAATGAAAACCTTTTTGGCATATCAAGGTCTTTCTTATTCAGGAAATGCTAACAGCCTAGATGTAGACTGCTATACATATTCCCCGCAATTTTAGAAAATACATGGGTTCGCATTCACTAAGCAATACCAGGTATTACAGCTCAGCCTTAACAATTGCATCCGTTTGGAAAGGCAAACAGAAGAGCTTTGCCAAACTCCTACGCAGTCACTTTAACTCCAACCCCCATTGTTCCTTCTCCTCCCCGAATTGAGCAAACAGAAGACAAGGCCTGGGAGGCAGCCATGATATGGAAACACTGTTTTAAACCCGAAGAGCTTTGTTTGGCCTTTAAAGCATAAAGAGAAAAATAATAAATCCCTTCTCCTCTCCCCAAGCAAAGCACTGGCACCAAAGCAACGCTTTAGAGAGGATCAGGCCATGCTGCGGGGCAGGGGCGCTGCTGGGCTGGAAGTTTTGCCCGTCTTGGCTGAGCTCCGGTCCTAGGAACAAGCCCTCCAGCCGGAGCTCGGTGGGCACCCTCGGGGACCAGTGGTCACGGGGCTCCCCAGCCCAGGCCCGGCGCCGTGGGCCTCAGATGACCACGCTGACGGTCATGCTCTGGCCTTGCGGCGCGATCTTGCGCGGCCAGGCCAGCAGCATCTTGCGCAGCTCCTCGCGGAAGCTGTCGTGCAGCCAGGCGTAGATGAAGGGGTTGTAGCAGACGGAGCTCATGGCGAGCCAGTGGCAGAGCAGCTGCACCAGCCCGAAGGCGTCGGGGTCGATGGCGCGCGGGTCGAGGTCGCGCAGCAGGTTGAAGACGTGCAGCGGCAGCCAGCAGACGGCGAACACCACCACCACCACCACCAGGAGGCGGAAGGTGCGGCGGCGCCGCGCGCGGTCCCAGTGGGCCTGGCTCTGGGTCACGCAGCCCGGCACCACGCGGTTGCGGAGCTTCACGGACACCCGCACGTAGGACAGGAGGATGACCAGCAGGGGGAGCAGGTAGGTGACGAGCAGCAGCCCCCAGGCGTAGAGCTGGCGCTGGCGCTCCCGGGAGCCCCAGAACTCCTCGCAGAGGCGCACGCGGTGCGGCGGCAGCTCCACGTGGTAGGTGTGCAGCGCGGCGGGCACCGCCAGCACCGCGGACAGCGCCCAGATGGCCAGCACCGCGCCGGCGCTGACGCGCAGCGAGATGCGGCGGCGGAGCGGGTGCACCAGCACGACGTAGCGGTCCACGGCGATGGTGGTGAGCGTGAACACGGACACGTAGACCGTGACGGGCTGCAGGAAGAAGACCAGGTGGCACAGGCCGCCGCCGAACACCCAGCCGCGCGGCTCGAAGGCGTAGGCCAGCGTGAGCGGCACGCAGGCGGCGCACATGAGCACGTCGGACAGCGCCAGGTTGCCGATGAGGAAGTTGGTCACGTTGTGCAGCCGGCGCACCCGCGCGATCACCAGCACCAGCAGGCAGTTGCCCGCCAGCCCCACGACCACCACGAGGCTGTAGAGCAGCACGATCAGCCCCTTGAGCTGGTGCACCAGCTGCAGGCTCTGGAACGGCGTGGCGGCCGGGGCGCCGGCGCCGGCGGCTGACCCGTTGCCCACCGGGGCCTCTGCGGCGCTCTGGTTGCCCCCCGGAGCTGAGGCCGCTGCTGGGGGGAGTCCGGAAGGCAAGTCAGGAGCCAAGGGGTCCTGCGTCGTCGGCAGGGAGGCCATGGCCACCTGCACAAAGGGAAATCAGAGAGCCTCACTTCCCGTTCTCTATCCGCCCCCTCCTCCTCAACCACTCCCCTCCCCTCCCCAATTACCTAGATCCCCCCCCCCCTTTGGACTCACTGGCCAAAATAGGTAACAATTAAAAGCGCTGCCCTCCCGCCTCTGCAAACATACATCTATGCGTGGCTCTACGTGCACCGGTTCTTTAAACGCCTTCTAGTCCGCCCAGGGCTCTGGCAACGCGCGCAGGCGAGACCCAGGAGCTCGAGACCCGGGAGCGCGGTCCTACCTGCTGAGTGCGGCGTGGCGGGCGGGAAAGCGCTCCAGGGAGGGAGGGAGGGAGAGGATCTGTCCCCTGGAGGTCCAACGCCCCACCGCTGCGATGCAGGCTTCTCGCTTTTTCCTGCTTTTCTTTCCGCGGGAGCTGAGCAGACTCAGGAGTTGCCAGTGGGCTCGCAGCTTTTGAGGGGGACCGGGAGCGAGCGCCTCCCCTCTGCCCGCCCCGCTCCCTTGTATGGAAAACAGGGGCGGAGCGGAACCTTCCCGCTGGGGCTGAGACCACGAGAGAGGAGGGCGAGGGTGGGGAGGATGGAAGCAGAAAAGCGGGGAGGGTGGACACACCTGGGCGGGAGCTCGCTGGGGAGAAGGGGGGGCGGGCCAGGGGAGCCTGGAGCCAGTGCTTTCGGGATGGCCTGGTGCGGCTTCAGTCAGGAGGGAGCGAAGGAAGAGGTGGGCGGGGGGTGAGATACACCAGGGGATGTGGGAGGAAGATGAGGGGCCCGTCCTTCAGCGCTGGATTCTGCGGAGAGTCCAGGCTGGGGGTAAGGGAGCAGCGCAGGAAGGGGGGGATTTAAGATGTAGAGCCTGGAGCTGGCTACAGACCTTCGGCCCTCGCCCTCTCCCTCCCCAGGACCCCCTGAGCCCTCAGCCTACGTGCAGATAGGGCCCAGCCAAAGACAGGGTTCAGCACCGCGGACAGCTCCCGCGGGCCAAGCTGGGGGTGCTGTGGAGCATTGAGGGAAGGGGAGCAGGGAGTTCCGACCCCTCTGTGGGTCCCAGGCATTCAGAAAAGGGACCGGCCTGGTTCAAAGAGCCGCCTCGCCGCCTGCTTTCTGGGCTGGGGCTGCTATCTAGAGGGAAGTGGGGTGGCTTGGAGGCCAACCCACCTGGTCTCTGGGGGTTGGAGGGTCAGACAATACAGCCCTCACGCCAGTGTCACTCCCCAGACACACTGCAATGCCTGGCCCCACTGCACCCTTTTCCACACTGGCTTTTTCGGACACAGTTCCCTTTCCCTTCTCTCTTTATCTCTCTCTCTCTCTCTCTCTCTCTCTCTCTCTCTCTCTCTCTCTCTATATATATATATATATATATATATATATATATATATATATATATATATATATATATATACACACACACACACTAGTAGTTGCAGGATTTTCACCAGGATAACAAAAGTAACAAACATTTGAGAAGCTTAAAAGTTGCATGAAATCTTTAGTAGCATTAAGACGTCAATGAAATGAGTTAACTTGAACCACCTTGGGTTAGAAAGTGGAGGGTGGAGAAGGAATCTTTGTAACCTGGTAATCTCAGGGGAGGCCTGCATGGGGTCTGGGTGGGGATGAGAGGGGAAAGGGGGACCTACAAACTCAGAGACTGAAAGCAGCCACATTGGATGGTCTGAACATAAAAATTCCTAAGTAAAGGGGGGGTATGGCAGGTAGTCACAGCCTAGGCCAGTAGCTCCCTTTACAAGGGTCCATCTTTACCTTAAACAAGCCCTTCTATTGTCTTTCTGCTGCTGAGATAACCTATCTTTGGAATATTAATCTCTTCTGCCAGACCCAAAGGCCTACCCACTGCACCAGGTGCTTTACCCCAGAACTCCTCATTGTTATCTTGTTCCCCAAATACCATCTCTACGTGCTGTAAATGTTCATTCTTAACTGCCTTATGCACTCGTGGAAACAAAGTGTGTGTTTCTCCATTTTACTCTTTATCCAATCCCGGAGGTTTCCCGCTCTACTTTCTCCCCCTCCCTAATCTGCCACCAGTGGATTTCACGTTACCCTCCCTACGCCTTCTCCTTTGGTTCTAATGTATAAAACAAACTGCCTTTCTCTGGAGCATTTTCTCAATCTGTTGAGATTTTGCTTCCCGGTAATCATGGTCAGTTTGGCTCCAATAAGCTTGTAAAAATCCTCTACAGGTGAAGGTGTTTCTGACAGGACACTCCTCTGAAGCGGTCTTCACATCTCATGTCCTTTTTCCAGAGGGCAGAGCTTCTTGGCCCTTGTCCTTTGTCTTCTGGGTGCAGACATCTCTGTTAGCACAGAAGGAAGTGAAATGAGTCCACCCTCCACATTTCAGTGATTCACTCATACCGGAGGAAAAGTCAACATTGGAACAAAAGCAACCGATTTCATATGCCTGTATCCGTGGTCGGCAAACTGCGGCTCGCAAGCCACATGCGGCTCTTTGGCCCCTTGAGTGTGGCTCTTCCACAAAATACCACGGCCTGGGCAAGTCTATTTTGAAGAAGTGGCGCTAGAAGAAGTTTAAGTTTAAAAAATGTGGATTTCAAAAGAAATTTCCATCATTGTACTAATGATATTTGGCTCTGCTGGCTAATGAGTTTGCCGACCACTGGCCTGTATCTATTCTAAACCCACACTCCCTGAGTTATAATCAATTTTGCTAAAGGCTCCTCCCTCCCCCTACAAAAAAAAAAAAAAAAAACACTAGCTTCCAAAGATACAAGAAATATAGCAACCCCTCATACCAGGGTTTCTCACCCTCGGCACTAGTGACATTTGGGGCAGGACAGTTCTGTGATATGTGGGGCTGTCCTGCGCACTGTAGAAAGTTTTGCAGCATCCCTGGCCTCTGCCCTCTAGAGGCCAGGAGTACACATATCCAATTGTGACAGCCAAAAATGCCTCTAAAATTTACCAAACATGCCCTGGGGGTGGGGGGAGGGGACAAAATCACCGCTGGTTGAGAACCAGTGCCTTAAACCAATTCAGCACTCTTAACGTTCACAATGCCCTCTGCTCGGAAGTGCTACCAGCCGTCCCAGCCAGCTCTCTTCAGACCTCTGAACCCCAGAAATGTATTTCAAAACCTTGCATTTACCAGGTTGTCTTCTCATCGCTTCCTGGAAGAGCAATGGAGGGAATGGGAAAAGATGATGCTTTAAGAAAGCCCTAAGATGAGCCCAAGTTCATTGCCAAACAGGAGATCACTGATTCCAAAGCCCAATAAGCACAGCACATGGCTCTGAGCTTGTATGGCGGCTCCGCCATCACTCAATGTGAGCGCTGGGCAGATGCTTTATGCTGGAAGAACCTCCGTTTGGGAAAATATATGAAATTCGTAAAAATGCCCACCTCGGGAGCACGTTGAGAAGATCCAGTATGTACACAGTGAAGGAAGTGCACATCGCTGACACAGTAACCGTCCTAGTCTTGGATAATCCTCTGCCCTGCCTTAAGTCACTGCCTCTCAAAGGAAGGTTCAGGGTTGCAGTTCCCAACCCTTCCACTTGAATGTTGCTCCTAAAGATCGTCTGTAGTGAGAAGAATTTACTGCTCTTCAGTCTAAATGCTTTCCTCCATTTTATTATTGTTCAGCAGGCATGCAAAGCCCGGGGTGAGACATTATGGAAAGAACCAAGGACCCGAAACAACCACCACGAAACACTATTGCCTGGAAATGTGCACGTTAGAGAGGACGCAGGAAGTCTACATAAATCACGGTGACCATAATAAATGCTACTACCGCCACCTGCTATGAGAGGAAGGCATTAACGATCACCGGGAAATTCACTAATTGCCTCAGCAAATTAGAATTGTGCTTACCCTTTTAGATCATACTCATTTTAATTCGCAAGAGTCATTCACACATTCATAACGTTTTCTACTCAGCCATATCAACATTTTCACATGTTGTTTCAATGTGTCCCCCTTCCTATGTTTACGTAAACATACGCAACAATTGAGGGCCTATTATGACTCTCTGTGAGTGTTCAGGTGGCAGGAAATGAATGAAGAGTACATGTTCTCATAATCAAAATGTCCTACGGGGCTGAAGCTTTGTGTCAGGAATCCATCCTCCCACTTTCCCAGCCTCCTTCTCTTCCCCCAGGGGGGAAGGCTCCCAGTGAGCCCTGCATCCCTGTCAGGCCCTGGGGTGAGTAATTAGGCAAGACTGATGCATGGGTACAGCTCCTTTCTCCTCCTCCCTGATGGTTCAGTTTAGTTTTCAAATGCATGCCTTTAATGCTATCCCAAGTGTGATGCCCATGAGTGATGCTGACAGGATGGCTTGTTTTGATGGGATTATCCAGGGCTGAGGGGAGACCCAGGCTGGCTGAGTTGCTCCCCCATCACTCCCTAGATTCCAGGGTAGCTCTAGTCCCTAACGTTGGCCTATCTAGGCCCTCTGGCCACAGGCAGCCTCGTTGCACACATCCCTGGACCTCCCCGAATTCCTGAAGACCGGGGACCCAGCAGCAGGTCACCTCCTCTGGTGATCCCTACACAGAACATCAACAACACTAAGAGACACAAGGCTTGACCCATCAACTCAATTCAAGATCTTAGCACATTCAGTTTTTTAACTTTTGATTGGAGTCTTAGCCATCATCAGACATGAGCAGCATGGGTGGCATATCTCAGCTTAGTCTATTAGGAGTAGAAAATATAAACAAATGAACAAAATAAATAAATAACCCAAAACAAAACACTCGAAAGCCATTTCTTTTTTTTTTTAATATATTTTTTATTGATTTTATACAGAGAGGAAGGGAGAGAGATAAAGAGTTAGAAACATCGATGAGAGAGAGTCATCAATCAGCTGCCTCTTGCACACCCCCTACTGGGGATATGCCCGCAACCAAGGTACATGCCCTTGACTGGAATCGAACCAGGGTCCCTTCAGTCCCCAAGCCGACGCTCTATCCATTGAGCTAAACCGGTTTCGGCTCGAAAGCCATTTCTATGACATTCCTTTCCAAAGGCAGGCAATTTGCTTTCCTATCGAGTCTAGTAATAATTAATGTCGTTTTTAAACATTCGTTTAAAATCTTGCTTGGCGTTGACTTGTATTGACATAACCTTCAAACACGTGGTATCTACAGAACGTGTGAAGTGCAATTAACAAGTTTTGCTTGAAAAAGTTTGTGTTTGGTTTGGTTTTTGTTGCAAAACTAGGGCTAAAAAGATGGCGGATGAAGAGCATATTCGGCACTGCATGCTTTACGAGTTCCAATTAGGAAGAAAAGCAAGTGAGGCTGCAAAAAGCATCTGTAGTGCTCTTGGTCAAGATGCAGTTAGCGCCAGAAAATGCCAGCGTTGGTTTGAGAAATTTCGCGAGGGAAATTTTTCGTTAGATGACAAGAGTGGTGGAGGCCGTGTGTCCAATTTTGATCAAGAAGCTCTTCAAGCTCTTTTGGTGCAAAGTCCTCAAATTACCCAACAAGAGCTTGTGACAACTTTAAATTGTTCACAAAAAACAATTTCCAATCAATTGCGTGCACTTGGCAAAGCCCAAAAGTTTGGAAAATGGGTTCCTCATGAGTTGACCGACAACAACCGTAATCAAAGAGTCACAATTTGCAGTTCACTCCTCTCTCGTCAAAACCATTTGCCGTTTTTAGAGCAAATTGTTACCGGAGATGAACAATGGGCGCTGTATGTTACCGTATTTTTCGGACCATAAGACGCTCCGGACCATAAGACGCACCAGTTTTTAGAGAAGGGAAATGAAGAAAAAAAGATTCTGAAACAAATAGTGTCCTAAAATATTTCATGTGCATTAAAACCCAACATCACAGTCATAAACACATGTAATCAACCCTGTAAAGTAAACAGCAGCATTTAGAACCATTTTAGAGCCGGGCAAGCACACAGAGACCACACAGAGCCGGGCAAGTAAAAAAACTTTTTTTTAAAAGTGTATGTGTAGTCTATATTTGGACCATAAGACGCAGGGACTTTTCCCCCCCACTTCTGGGGGGGAAAAAGTGCGTCTTATGGTCCGAAAAATACGGTAATTTGAAAAGGCGGCCTCAATGGTTGGACAAAAATGAGGCTCTGCAGCCCACGCCAAAACCTGACTTGCATGCGAAAAAAGTGATGTTGTGTGTTTGATGGAATTTTAAAGGAATTCTTCATTATGAACTTTTACCATCTAACCAAACCATTACAAGTGCAGTGTATAGTGCCCAATTGGAAAGGTTAGCCCAAGCTTTAAGAGAAAAAGAACCCGAGCTGATTAATTGGAAGGGCGTAATTCTTCACCACGATAACGCATGACCGCATACTGCAAGAATCACTGCTGAAAAACTGCGCCAGTTGGAATGGGAAGTTCTCCCTCAACCTGTATATTCTCCTGATATTGCCCCTTCCGATTACCATCTGTTTCGTTCTTTGCAAAACTTTTTTCTTGGAAAAAAATTTAATAATGAAGAATGCCTCAAAAATGCATTGACCGAATTTTTTGCATCAAAATCACAAGAATTTTACAACAGAGGGATTAAAATGCTTCCTGAGCGTTGGGCACAAGTAGTAGAAAACAACGGCAACTATATTGTTGATTAAATTTTGTTGTATTGTTTAAATAAATTCGATTTAAAAAAGTATTAGAAAACGACATTAATTATTACTAGACCTAATACTTTTGATTCAAATCCTGTTTCATTATCAACTGGAAATGGCTCTTATGGGCGGTAAAAATCATCGTGCAGTTGCATCACGGCAGTAAGTGGTGAAGGGCTCTGCAGTCACATTGAGATAGAAATCTGGACCTTGCAGAAGCCCCTCATTGGGGTTTCCATTGATAGACGCCTCCTGACAAAACACAGCGATGAGCCCAAACCACTGCTCTTTATTTCCTCTGAATTATTATCCAGACACATGCAAGTGCACTCTGGCGTTACTATCTCGTAAGCTAGGGCCCTTCTATGCTTATTTATTTATTTATTTATTTATTTATTTATTTTTAAACAAAATGTAAAACTGGAATAGTCCTTGTGGTGTTTTTCACACGACATTCAGGGATGGCAGTTTGACCATTCAAATGTCTAGGAAGGTGTGTCCTCCCTGTGTTTTCTCTCAGCAAGTGGGGATTGGTCACCAGGGAAACAGCCCCAGCTTTCATCCTTGAAGACATCCTGAGCAGTGTCTCTGCAGAGGGCGAATAACACGGAGTGCATTCTCCTCGACCCACTGGGGTTCAAAGACCAGCTTCGTCGGCATCAATTCTGGTGCTTATTAAAAAAATGCAGATTGGATCACAAGGCAGACCTATGAGATCAGAGTGGCTGATAGTGAGAGCTGGGAAAATGGAAATATCACAAGCACTGCGGGCTATTCTGTTGCATACTCAGTGTGAGCACCGCTGTCCTACAGCCTGCTTCTACGCAGTGAATCTACAGATCCCTGGCTCCCTACCTCCTCACCATGATTGAGATGCCAGCCAGAGGGCACAAAGCAGCCGCCAAACCCAGCCTGGCCTACTGCCAGAGGGGCCTGACATTGGATTTCAGCCCTCCTTCCTTTCCTCCCTGGATGATAAATATGGGAAGATAAATGTATTGTAGGAAGTTAATACTTTCTCTATATTCTGTCCTTTTCAAGTTCCTTATTTTTATTTTTATTGATTTCAGAGAGGAAGAGAGAGGGAGAGAGAGAAATATCCACAATAGAGAATCATTGATCGGCTGCCTCCTGCAGGCCCCTCACTGGGGATCGAGCCCACAACCTGGGCCTGTGCCCTGACTGGGAATCGAACCATGACCTCCTCGTTCATAGGTCAATGCTCAACCACGGAGCCACACTGGCCGGGCTCAAGTTATTTTTAGTGACACATTCTCATGTTTTATAGACACGAAGCAGATGAGCCTGACGTCTCCTTTGACCTCCACCCTGGATCTCAGTACCTCCCGGAGGTCACACTTGTTCTTGCCCTGCGTGTCTACAGACACATGTCTGAACCCACAGGAACAGAGTGGTGTTGATGGACATTTAGGTGTGTTTACAACTTCTTTGCTGCTATAGACCTTGCCATAACCAAGACGCTCCAGATGTTGGTCAAAGAATACAAACTTCCAGCTATAAGACGAAAATTTTTAGGGATCTTAATGGACAGCATTAGATTTAGTCAATTTATTGACTTTCGTTACTAATACTTTATTGTATACTTGAAAGTTGCTAAGAGTGTAGATCTGAATTGTTCTCACCTCAAAAAGAAATAAATGGTAGTTATATGATAGTGTTAACTAGTGCTATGCTGGGGTTCATTTTGCAATATAGAAATATATCAAATCAGCCGGGACTGGTTTGGCTCAATGGATAGAGCGTCGGCTTGGGGACTAAAGGGCCCCGGGTTCGATTCCGGTCAAGGGCATGTACCTTGATTGTGGGCATATCCCTAGTGGGGGGTGTGCAAGAGGCAGCTGATCAATGACTCTCTCTCATTGATGTTTCGAACTCTCTATCTCTCTCCCTTCCACTCTGTACAAAAATCAATAAAATATATTTTAAAAAGAAATATATCAAATCAACACATTGTACATGTTATGGTTCTACAATGTCAATTATATCTCAGTAAGTTTAAAAATTTGGCTCTCAAAAGAAATTTCAATCATTGTACTGTTGATATTTGGCTCTGTTGACTAATGAGTTTGCCAACCACTGGACTGGACCCTCCTGAAGGTCTCCACAAGCTCTGATAGCTCAGGGGTCTGAGATTGTGATCCGCAGAGAGACAACGATCTACCCACCTGGATGGTTTGCACACACCTGGATGACATTACCTGTCCACACACTTGCATGACACCACATGTCTCTTTTTTTTAAAGTTTGTTTATTTTTAAAATCCTCACCCGAGGATATTTTCCCACTGATTTTAGAGAGAGTGGAAGAGAGAGAGGAAAGACAGAGAGTAACATCGATGTGAGAGAAACACATTGATTGGTTGCCTCCTGCATGAGCCCTGACCACGGCCCAGGCCAGGGAGGAGCCTGCAACCAAGGTATGTGCCCTTGACGAGGAATCAAGCCCAGGACTCTTCGGTCTGCAGGCCCGCATTCTATCCACTGGGCCAAACCAGCTAGGGCCCCTTGTCTCCTTAATAAAAGGCGGTCCCTCTTCTATCTGATGCACCTGGACATCCTTTACAGCAAGCATGTCAAACTCAAAGGCTAACACGGGCCAAATAAATGATGCATCCGGCCCTTGAGTTTGACATGCTTGCTTTACCGCTTCACTTTGGTTTTTCTCTCCGTGGATCTGGCCTTCTGACTCATCTGGGAGAGAACCTGAGGCCCTTGGATTCGCACTCCGCTAAGGGAAGTATCCCTGAGGGAAATGATTTAGTCCACGGGTCCTCTTAAACACCACGAGGAAAGGCAGCCTGTGGGATTGTGGGCAGGCTCCAGAGTTTAGTGAGTTGGGTTTTGTTCATGCCTGTGATTCACCAGATCCAATCAAAACAATTACTCATTCTCACCCTCCAGGCGCTTTCCGGCCATGTGAAGACTCTGCATGCAAGGTTGTGTTGTTGTTTTTTTAAATTGTAATAGTCTGTTTACTGTTCCCCCAGCTACTTTCCTTCCCTAACACAGATTTCAAAAACATAATTAAAGGATGCAGTGGGGTTTCTTTTCTTACAACAAGCCCACAAAATTACACATAACTGCAGA